TCAGGCTGGTTTCGAACTCCTGAGCTCAAACAATCCGCCCGCCTCGGCCTCCCAGAGAGCTAGGATTACAGGCGTGAGCCACCGCGCCGGCCTGAGACTGCTAATTTTTGTTTCATTATTTTGGTGGTAACACTGGCTTAAAAGTACACGGAGAGAGGCCTTGGTGAATGCTGATCATAAGCGTAGAGCTCAATGAACGGCCACAGCGTGATCCCCACCCAGAAGCCCCGCCTGCCCCCTCCTCCAGGGGCAGCTGCTCCCCTGACCGCTCACACCAGAGACCCCCGGCCTGTGTTTGAATGTCAAGGTGGGGCTCGGAGTGTGGTTGCTGGTTCCGGTGGGGAGAGAGGGTTTGGGAGGCTGTCGGCACACAGGAGGAGCTGACACCTGAGCCGCTGCCTGGAGATGTGGGGAGGTGGCCACGCGGCCACCACTCCCCTTGGTTCCCACCCCCTCCCTCTCTGACCCTCACGTGCACAGTCTCGAGCAGGTGCAGAGGGAGGCAGTGGCCAGCTCCCTCGGGTGGGGGCCGGAACCTGAGTTCACACAGTGAAGACGGCCTCGCGGCCCTTGTTCAGCGTCTGAACAGACGCACTGCACTAGTTTCACTGAGCGCTTTCTTTTGGTGGGATTTCCAGAATGATCCGTGAAGCCCTTCTCTGTTGAGTTCCAGCAGGCTGGGCAGTGGCCTCCAGGTCTCGATCCTTAGGGCTGGTTGGTGCCTATCTCCAGGCACAAGTGGCCCCAAAAGTGCAAATGTCGACTCTGACTTGGGAGAGCCTCCTGCTCCCCACGCTGTGCACCCCCAGCCTGCGCAGGGGGGCGCGGCACCGGCCCCGCCTTGGTCTCTCCCCTCTTCTGGGCCCCTGCTCGATGGGACCCCAGAGCTGGCTCTCCTGTACCTGTTCCTTCTGTGTCTTGCAGGTGCTGGGCTTTGAGATCGACGCCGTGAACTCCGTCCAGTTTTCCAACCACACAGGTAAGGCGCTGGTCTGGGCAGCCGGAGCAGAACTGAGTGTGGGCCGGGAAGCGGCCCTGGGGTGGCACCCTCGTGTGGAAGGGGAATGGGGCCCCGAGGTGACGCTGCTTGCAGGGCCCCCACAGCACATTGGGGTGCAGGGCCTGGGTCTGCCTTGCTGCAGGGTGCGGGCTCCTTTGGAGCCGTGTGACCAGAGCAGGCGTTGGAACCTCTCGGCAGCTCAGTTTCCTTCTCTGAAACAGGACGGTGACCCTGGCACCCGGCTAAGGTTTCGAGAGCTCAGTGGGTAAATTTCACAAAATGCTCGGACACAGCCGTGTCGCTGCCGTTGTCTGCCGTGTGGCGCGCCTGTCCACCCCGGCCCACCAGGGTGGCGCCTCGGCGCGGGAGGAGGCTGCCCCCCGTGATCGTTCTGCTGGTGGACGTGTAGGTGGTCAACACTGGTGCCGTGGGGCTTGCTTGTGTCTGTCTCGGCGCTCGGGACTCCGAGGACCCCGCTGGCTCACGGTCGAGGGTCGCTGTCCTCGGGAGGCCCTGAGTGTCAGGAGCGGGTCCCGGGCTCCCCACTGACCACCCCTGAGGAGCCGAGGAGCCAGGCATCTGCTCCACCCCACGCTGTCCCGTTGGCGGGAGAACAAAGCCATTCAGTTCTTTGAAACGCTTCCACGTCACCTCTCCTGAAACTGCTCTGAGCCCAGCTGGAACCTCAGGGGCACAGAACGTCCCAGAAGCAGCCCGGCAGAGCGCCAGCAGCGTTCGCAGGCGGGGGCTCAGCCCTCGCGCTCAGGAAGGATTTCCGTAGTTCTCCCGGATGCGTTCTTCCTTGGGAGGGCGTTTATTACAGTAACAGTGAGAGGAAAGAATCAGGTGCCCGGCTCAGATGGAAGGGCCCCAGCGTCACCAAGAATCCTTTCCTGCTCTTGCTTGCCGTGTGTGTGGGGTGCTGTGAAATTTGGAGACGTCCCAAGAAGCTTAGTCCCCCTGGGAACCTCCCTGAGACCCACATATTAGTCTTGGCTGCTCTGACCTGCCCCCCAATTTATTTTTAAGTAAATGAGTCAAAGAGGCTTGGATGTTGAAGGAGGGATTAAGTTTATTTCTGGGGATTTGGTGGTGCTGTGATCAGCTGCCCTCTCCGTCCCGGATGAGGGGAGGGGCCCTGGGGGCTGCCTTGGGGCTCCCAGAAGCTTCTCAGTGGGTGGTAGACTGGTGTCTTGTGGAGTCAGAGACAGAAAGAGCCTCCCTCCTGGGGGGCTCTCCTAGGAGGGGGTGGAGACCAGGCCCCCAGGAGTTTGGGAGCGCTTAGGGTACAGAGCAAGGTTACAGGGGTAGGGGCTTCCCTTCCAGCGGGGCCCACCTTCGTGGCTCCTGGAGAAGAGCCTGCCCCTCTAGCCTCCTCCATGCAGGCCCGCCTGCCTCGGGAGCCCTCGACAGCCTGTCTGTGGCTGCAGCGCCTACACCTGGGCCCACGGGGTCAGTGTCTGCACAGCCTCATTAGGGGGCTTCCAGGGTGGCCCCCCCAGGCTGCCTCTGGGGCCCCTTTTGCCTGGTCCCCCGAACCCTGCCTGCACTGTGCTGCTGGGAAGTGAGGCTGGTGAGTCTGAAACCCGCCCCTGCCTCGTGTGGCATCTGGGAGCCACGGGAGCTATGGTTCGGACGTGACTCAGCGGCCCCCCGTCTGCCTCCCACCCCCGCCCCTCCCCAGCCCAGGCCAGAGCAGGGCCTGTCGCCCACGGGGAGTAGAACAGAAACGCTTTGTTCCGAAGATTCCCGCAGAGCAGTGGCCTCAGCTGTAAACCAGGAAGTGCTGGATGTTCTCACAGAAGAGCTGGGGGCGCTTTGTTCTTTACGTGCTGGCCTCCAGGGAACATTTAGCAAGGCCAGTCCTGGGCAAGAGAGAGCTGCTGCCCACACCGCGCGGTTCCGCTCCCGAGCGCCTCGGCCCAGGGCTGCGCTCCTCAGGCTGTCTGTGAGGCCCTGTCACGTGCTGCTTCCGCCATGTGGCCCTACTGTGTGTGCCCAGGACGCAGCTCACACCGAGCGTGGCTGCTATTCGGGTTCCCCCACAAACTCGCGTCCCCTGGTCAGCAGGCGGCCCCAAGGACATCTGGGTGGTTTCCACTTCCTGGCCACTGCGAATCGTGTTGCTGTGGACAGCTACACATTTTTGTGGACATGTTGTTTCTGTCCGTGATATACCTAGGAGTTGGGGGGGTCTCTCAGGTTGCGCATGATCCCCCAGCAAGCAGCTGCGATGACACCTGTGGGGCGGCGTCCTCCGGGTTGTTCCTGGGGCAGGTCGCGTAGGCGTCTTCTGCCTGGACGTGCCAGAATTGCAGACTCCCAGAGAGGAGCGGGTGTGCGGCCTTGACTCTGTGGTGCGGGCGGCCTCTCTGTCTCAGGCTGCTGACCTGCATCTGCACGTCCCCGCCTCCTGTCCCCATGGGCCACACCACACCCTGCTCGGTTTCCATACCCGGAGCTGCCCCCCAGGGCAGCCGGGCCGGAGAGCCATGAGCTTCAGTGGCTCCCGCACTGGGTTTCCAGAGCTTCCCAGATCCCAGGCCTGCTGCACAGGGCTCCTGGAATGCCGGCGGGGGGGGGGGGGGGGGGGGCTGCAGGGGGTGGCAGGCGACCAGCCACTGGGCTCCGTGGTCGTCACAGGGCAGGAGTGGCGTGTGTGGGCACAAGGAGCCTCAGGGCCTGAGAGGGCTGGGGACAGGTGCCGGTGAGGAACACGCTCGAGGGCCCAGCCCTGGCCTGGACTCCCTGGCAGGCTGGGGTGGGAGGGGACACCAGGGCCCCCGGGCCGCCGGAGGAGCCACTCACTTGGCCTCTGTTTTTCTGTAAGTCGGGTGAGTTGGATGGAGGATTCGTCAGGAAATAGGACGCAGGTCCCGCGGGCGCCTGCAGGCCGGCCTGGGGAGCTGAGTGCCGGTGCTGGATTCATTCCGGCAGGAACCGGCAGCGGAAGGTGGGGACTGCTGGCGGCAGTGATGAGGCCCCCAGCAGTGGGGAAGCAGGTGTCCTTTCAGGGGCTTTGAGGCCCCCCCCACGGACAGGTGTTGGGGACCTGCCACAGCACCAGGTCTGGGTGATTTCATTCAAGCCTGGCGCCAGCCGCTGGGGAAGGGCTGTCCCCGGGGAGTGTGGGCAGTTGTCAGGGCTGAGACGGGCCACACACCAGAGTGGTCTGCTCTGCCTACAGGCTACGCCCACTGGAAGGGTCAGGTGCTCAACTCAGATGAGCTCCACGAGCTGTACGAAGGCCTGAAGCTGAACAGCGTGAACAAGTATGACTACGTGCTCACAGGTGAGGGCCGGGGGGCCGGGCACAGGGGCCTGTGGTGGGCTCAGGCCCAGAGCACCCCATCCTAGGCTCGCCCCTGTCCCTGGCTCCTTCAGGAGGGATTGGGCGTGTCCTAGGGACCCTCAGCCATGCCGTGCCCACCGGGCTGATGATGGCTGTCCTGGCCAAATCACCCCCACTTCCGCGGCCCCACTGGGGGTCCGGTACCTGGGAGAGGGCCCAGGTGGGGTGCTGGAACTGCTGCCTGGGGCAGGAGGGGTCGCAGGTGAAACACTTAGGCAGGTGACATTGCCACCTGGTGCATTGGTTTCCTTTGTCAACTTCCTGGTTAAAAAAAAACACAACAAGTTGTATTTTTACATGTGGCTAAAAGTGTCATATACTAATTACTGAAAATGGAAAACAAGCTGGGCGCAGTGGCCTGTAATCCCAGCACTCTGGGAGGCTGAGACAGAAGGATCGTTTGAGCTCAGGAGACCAGCCTGAGCAAAAGTTTTACCCCATCTCTACCAAAAAGAAAGGGAAAAAAAAAAAAAACCCAGCCAGGTGTGGTGGCGCATACCTGTAGTCCCAGCCACCTGGGAGGCTGAGGCAGGAGGAGTTGGAGGTTGCAGTGAGCTACAGTGATGCCACTACACTCTACCCAGGGCTACAGAGTGAAACTCTGTCTCAAAAAAGCAAACAAGAAAAAAAAAATGGAAAATAGGCTGGGCGCGGTGGCTCACGCCTGTAATCCCAGCACTTGTGGAGGTGAGGTGGGAGGGTTGCCTGAGGCCAGGAGTTCAAGACCAGCCTGGGCAATAGCAAGACCCCATCTCTACCCAAAAAAAAAAAAAAAGCAAAAAGAAAATGGAAATTGTAGAAAAAGGAAACAGTTATGCATATACCTATCACCCACGGGTCCATTCCTTTAAAACTCAGTGTTTCTTTGGGACACACTGAGCCTCCCCTCCCCCTGTGACTACAGACTGGGGGTACCCTCGCCTGGACCCAGCTGCTGGGTCCCAGGCCCCCCTGCGGCTCTCCCCTGCCCGTTTCTCCTGTTGCCGCCGTGGGTGGGTGTGCGTGCCCTGTTTCCCGGGTAACCTGCTTTCCCCTCCGCAGGTTACACGAGAGACAAGTCGTTCCTGGGCATGGTGGTGGACATCGTGCAGGAGCTGAAGCAGCAGAACTCCAGCCTCGTGTACGGTAGGTGCAGGCCCCAGGCGGGGCCTGGCTCTGTGGCCTCGCGGCCCTGGGCCTGTCACCTTCTTGAGCGGGGCTGGCCTGGGAGCCCTAGGAAGGGACAGTGCAGCCCCCTTTCTAACTGACACCCTGTCCTTCGTGTCCTGCCTGCGGGGCGCTTAGAAACACTTCGAAGGTGAACCTAGTATCTTGTGTGGGGTGTGGGAGAGAGGAGGGGTCGGAAATGTGCTCGTAAGCGGTGTCGGCGCGTGAAGGCCTGGGGGCGCTCGGGCACCGTCATACCCTGGCGGGGCCGTGGCTCGTGAGTGTGGGGCCGGAGCCTCGGGGGTGTCTGCATAGAACGGCCCTGAGAAGAGGCAGCACCAGCCGACTTTGCAGATGAGGTCCCTTCCTGGGTGTGGTCTCCCGGTGTGCACGGTGCCCCACGCGCTGGCGGGCACACGTGGCACGCTGCTTTGCCCACTGCGGACTGTTGCGAAGGGAACACGCTTGTCAGGCAGACGACGTGAGGCCTGGATTTGATGTGCCTGAGGCAGGAGGAGGGAAAGAGCTGCTGGTCTCGCTTGGGTGACGAGAGGGCGCTGTCTGTGTCACTCTGAAAAAAGTGCAAGGGATCATAAACTAAGTCGGAATTAACTAGAGCACTGAGTCATCTTGGACAAAGAAATTGAAAACGCCAGGTTACAGGAGCAATAAAAAGGGGAGGCCATGCTTTTCCCCAAGCTTTTATGTACACGAAGTTTAAAAATAAAATGTTGAGATACCATTTCATACCAGCTAGGATGGCTGTACCCAAAAAAATGGGAAGTAACAAGTGTTGGTGAGAATGCGGAGAGATTGGAACCCGCGTGCGTTGTTGGTGGGAATGTCAAACGGTGCAGCCGCCATGGAGACAGGCTGGTGGTTCCCCAACAAGTTAAACACAGCAGTTGCCACCTGACCCACGATTCCATCCTAGTGTGTATCCGAGATGCCTGAGCACAGAGACTCGACCAGATGCTCGCACGGTCACGTTCACGGCGGCATTGCTTGCAGCTGAAAGTGGACACAACCCAGTGTCCATTGATGGATGAATGGATAAACAAGATGTGGTCTGTCCACACAATGGACCGTTATTTGGTCTTTTTTTTTTTTCTTTGAGACAGAGTCTGGCTCTGTTGCCCAGGCTAGAGTGCCGTGGTGTCAGCCTAGCTCACAGCAACCTCAAACTCCTGGGCTCAAGTGATCCTCCCACCTTAGCCTCCCAAGTAGCTGGGACTACAGACATGTGCCACCATGCCCGGCTAATTCTTTCTATATATTTTTAGTTGTCCAGCTAATTTCTTTGTATGTTTAGTAGAGACTGGGTCTCAGTCGTGTTCAAGCTGGTCTCGAACTCCTGACCTCGAGCGATCCTCCCATCTCGGCCTCCCAGAGTGCCAGCATTACAGGCGTGAGCCACCGCGCCCAGCCTGTTATTCGGTCTTAAAAAGGAAGGAGATTGTGACACAGGCAACAACATGGGTGAACCTCGAGGATATCATGCTCTGCGAAAGAAGCAGACGCAAACTGGCAAATGTCATGAGTCTACTCGTAGGAATTATCTAGAATGGGCACAGTCATAGAGATAGACAGTAGCCTAGAGGGTGCCAGGGGCTGGAGTGGGGATGGGGAGTTAGTATTGAACGGGGACAGAGTTTCAGTTTGGGGTGATGGAAGGATTTTGGAGATGGATCGTAGCGATGGCTGCACAGCAGTGCGAGTGTACGTAACGCCCCTGAACTGTGCACCTAAAAGTGGTTAAAATGGCAAAGCTTATGTTATGTATCTTTTTACCATATTAAAGAATTAAATTACCATGCCTGTGATCCTAGGCCGAGGCAGGAGGATCGCTTGAGGTCAGGAGTTTGAGACCAGCATGAGCAAGAGCGAGACCCTTTAGTCTCTACTAAAAATAGAAAAACTAGCCAAGCAACTAAAAATAGAAACAAAAAATAAGGCAGGTGTGGTGTTACGCGCCTGTAGTCCCAGCTGCTCAGGAGGCTGAGGCAGGAGGATCACTTGAACCCAGGATTTGGAGGTTGCGGTGCGCTACGATGACGCCACGGCACTCTAGGCGGAGTGACAGAGTGAGACCCTGTCTCCAAAAAAAAAAAATTAAAAAAAAAAACACTGATGGTTTGTTACTCATCAGCTGCAGCTTTTGCTGATAAGATGCCTTGTGTCTCTGCAGTGTGTGATCCCGTCATGGGCGACAAGAGGAATGGGGAAGGCTCAATGGTGAGTCATGTTGCGCGTGTGATTTCGGAGTGCGGGAAACCAAGCTCTTTCTGTCAACACAGTGGCTAACACAAAAATATCAGAAACTTTTCCTTGGGGCCACAGTGTTTTATCACGAAAATAGAATAAAAACCTCAAGTGTAATGTAAGGGTAAACGTAAATAGAAAAATGAAATTTATTGATTTCTATTCATTTAATCCGCATTTTTAGAATTGTCAATATTAATTGTAACAATAAGAACATCAACAAGTAAGATTTTACGTATGCTCTACGCGGCCCCGGGGTCGCAACTAGAGTGAGTTAAATACAAGTCTCGTGGCAGGTAATGTGTGAGTCGGGAGGAGAGGCCACCTCTCTAAGTGTCAACCTCGGCAAGACGCCCCGTCGGATGTGGGCATGGCCTTGTCAGGAGGGAGAAACGAGGTTTGGGGAACATGCCATAAAGGGCCAGGTAGTTAGTAAATTTTCCAGGCCTTGCGGCCGTTCGTCCCAGTGCAGCTACTAAGCTGTAGCGCAGAAGCAGCCACAGAGGACAGGTAAACACACAGGCCCGGCTGCTTTCTGATAAAATTTCATCTATAGACGCTGAACTTCATGTTGCCTGTCATTTTCATGTGTCAAATGTTATTCTTTCTTTGGCATTTCTTCCCTCCCTCTTCGAAGATGTAAAATCACTCTCAGCTGACGAGCTGTACGAAAACCGGCGGCAGCCGGAGCTCCCCAACCGTGACGGGCAGGTGCGGGGGACTCGCCTGCGGCCCACACGGAAGCCTAGAGTTTTAGAGGTGGAAGGAACTCGAAGATTATCCTGCCTGTGGGTTTCAGACTCAGCAATTCAACACCCAAACGATTTCTGTAAACAGTTTCTTCGTCGTGGTTGTTCAGTTTGTCCGTTTGCTCGCTGTCTAAGTTCACTGAGCGTAGTGGGCTGGGTCGAGGTCTACACTACACGGGGGCCAGCGTCCTTCCTGCCCGCTGGAGGGCAGTTGAGGTCAGGGTATCCGTGGCATTTAACCAGATGGCTTGCTCAGCATCTGTGTCTCCATCCGCCCTCTCCTGTGCTTGTTTTCTGGAAGGTTCCTGCACTAGTGCCCTTCACTGCGGATCCCAGCTAGCCGTCTTGCTCTCCCTTTGTTCCCGCGGTGGGGCTCACCTGGCCCGGGGCAGGTGCTTGAGTGTGGGTGATCAGGAGTCGAGGCCACCGTGCAGTGTGGCCACGTGCCTGTTTCTCGACTTCTGTCAGATCTGTTTTCCTTGTGAGCTGAGCTCAGCCTAAACATGAGTTGGTGTGTTAGGCTCCGACAAGCAGTAAACCTGCGCCTGACGTTTCTCCATGAGGTTAAGGGGCGTGTGTCGGGCCTGCCTACCCGAAACTGGGCTTTAAAGAGCCTTTCTTTGACGTCATGGTCACGCCTGATGGATTGAAGCCCGAGGATTGGGGCATCCAGGTTGCACCTTGTCCGTCCTCCGTGCTGACACGTGGCGCCTGCGTGCTGTGAGTGCCAGGCGCTGGGATGTATCCGTGGGGACAGTTGGTCTCCAAGGGAGGCTCCCGGGAGCAGAGCGAGGGGAAGGGGTTGGAAACTCAGGCCAGCCAGCCAGTGCCAGAAAGCAAAGAGAATTCCTTATATTCTCACCGTGGGCTTGGGCTTTGGGTTGCTTTGTAAGGAAATCTGACAGCTAAAGAAAACTGTCATTTTGAATTGTTTGCTGGGCAACTTAAGACAAAAAATGAGGAGACCAGGGTGCGTTGGCCCATAGCCACGAAGAGCATGTGCGTTAGGCTCCTGGTCCCGATGGGCACCTGGCCACCACTGCGGGTGACAAGAGCCGCTGTTCCTACCTGCCCTCGGCGTTTTCCCGTTTCTCCCTCCTTCCTTCCTTCGTGGTCCCTGGTCCTTCCGACCGTGAGCTCATGGGCCCGGGACCTCCTCCTCCTCCTCCTTCTCCTCCCCCCTCCCCCCAGACCCTCTGCAGCCAGGGCCCGGCAGCTCACCCTGAGCCTCCCTGCAGGACTCGTCGGGGCCCTTTGGGTTCCTGGCTCTGACTCGCCTGCGGCTCTCGCTGCCTGTGCGGCGCGTGCCTCAGCTCCACGGCCGAGCGTCCGGGCCCACGGCAGGGTTCGGGGCGTGTGTCCTTTGGCGCCCTTCCCCTGAATGTGAGCCAGCCCCATTCCCTGTCTCCTTTGTCCCCAGTACGTCCCGGATGACCTCCTTCCAGTGTACAGAGAAAAGGTCGTGCCGGTTGCAGACATTATAACTCCCAACCAGTTTGAGGCTGAGTAAGTAATTTTGAATGGCTGAACTGTCAGCCCCCAGTGGGCAGAGCTACAGACAACGTCTGGAAATGTCTCCACGTCTGCCCTGGCGCTGACTGTTCAGGCCACCAGGCTCGAGCCCTGGTCTGGCACTGGAGTGGGACGGGATGGGGGTGGCCCTGAGATGGGGAAGCCCCTGCCCACCCGAGTAACGGGCCTAAGCCTCGCTTTTAGTGGTGGCAGCGGCAGCTGACGGGGGTGGCTGTGCTGCTCTCAGCAAGGCCCTTCGGGGAGACACGGGAGGGGCCCTGGGGAGCCGGGGGCTCACACGGCTGGGAAGGCCTCGGGGCGGAGAGCTGCCACCCACAGCTGTCCACGGGGTCAGGACGGGTGTGTCGGGCCCCCTGCCCTGTGTCACTTTTTGAAAGGCTCTGGGTGTGTGAGCCCACCCGACTGACCGGGGAAGCGGACCCCGAGGGAAAGTGCCGCCATCGCAGCGTGTGGGGGTGAGGCCGCCGGGTCCCGTCGCGGCTCGGCTTGACCGGGCCATCCTGCTGCCTCCGCGGGCCGTGCACGTTGGGGCGGGGACCGGAGGCCTGGAATTCCCTGACCTGGGCCCGCCCAAACGCAGGGTGACGTCTCACCGCGAGGGCCAGGAGTGTCGGTGGGCACCTCACTGGCGCCACGCGCTGTGGCACGTTAAGCGGGGCGTGCGCCACTGCTCCCCACCATTGTTACGTGTGGACGCTAACCACGGTCTGGGACCTCACCAGACCTGTCGCACGTGAGAGTTCGCTTTCAGACTCGGATCTCCCTTGACCCGCCCCTCGCCCACCTGCACGTCACACTGGCCCTGCCGCGATGGCACTGGGGCCGTTCCCTGTGGGCACGGGGGTCAGGGCGGCCGTGGCTTTGGGAGTGTCACACACAAGCAGAGGGGTCACCTCGTCCCTGCCTGTCTCTCAGGTTACTGAGCGGCCGGAAGATCCACAGCCAGGAAGAAGCGTTGGCGGTAAGGACGCCTTCCAGGCCTGGGTGGAACGGGCGGGCTTCTGGTTCCCGGATGTCAGTGCCGTGTGTGTGTGTGTGTGTGTGTGTGTGTGTGTGTGTGTGTGTGTGTGTGCGCGCGCGCGCGTGCGTGTGTGTGAGGGGTATGTGTGTATGTGGGCGTGGCGTGTGTATGTATGTGTGGGGGTGTGTATGAGGGGGTATTATGTACGTGTGTAGGGGGTGTGAGGGGGTGTGGGGTGTGTACGTGTAGGGTGTATATTCGTGTGGTGCGTGTGCGACGGGGACTCATCTCTCACCGCGCTTAGCCCTGGAGCAATGGCGCCTCCGCGGATCCGCACGCGCTGCTCCGAGGTGGTTGTGCCGTGAAGAGTCGCGGAAAGGCCGACTCGGAGAGGCCAGGTCCTCCTTGCTGCGGGGCGGCGACCTACCTGCCAGTGCCCGAGGGTGGGGGAGGCCCGCGCTGGTCACCTACCTAGGGGTGGCCTCGTGGCCCCAGGCCCTGGAGCCCCTCCAGGGTTCCTCCCAGATCTCGGGGTGACCCCAGAAGGGCTGGGGTCCGGTCCCTTTCCGGCTGCTGGGGGTGCGGCTGTCTGGTTTCAGCCCGTCCTGACCTGTCTCCTCGAGCCGGGCCTGTGAGAGTGCGTCAGGGGCTTGTGGCAGTTTGGGCTCGCGACGCAGGGGACGGTGGCTGACCAAGCAGCTTGCTCCCCTCGGGAAGCATCGTCTCTGCGCGTGGCGCGGGTGAGTGGGCGGTGATGCAGCCGCGGGCTGATGCGCTCCCTGTGCCCCGCAGGTGATGGACATGCTGCACGCCATGGGCCCCGACACAGTGGTCATCACCAGCTCCGACCTGCCTTCCCCTCGGGGCAGCGACTACCTGATCGTGCTGGGCAGCCAGCGGACGCGTAAGTGCTCCACCTGCGGGCGCCCTGGCTCCTCTGGTCCTTCCCGCTCAAGTGTCCTTTGAGGCTTCAAGAATGTCTCGGGTTCAGCAGAACGAAAGTTACGTCTCATTCAGGAAGTCCCGTTAGCCACGAGGAAGGTCACACGCAGACGGGATAGACAGGATCAGGAGAGGCTTCTGTCACCTGGGGGGTCCTGGGGGTGTTGGCAGGTCACCCCAGTGCTCCACTATCCAGCCGGCAGCCCCAGGGCTGGCGCCCACACTTACGGCTCTCGGGGGTCAGGTGAGACGCCCCGGACCGCCCAGTAATGCCCAGTGGAGGGGCTAGAATTGGCTTCCATGGCCCCGTGTCCACAGGCCTCCTGCAGAGCCAGGTCCCGGTCCCTGACCTCACTGGGGTCACGTCTGCCGGGCCGTGCTGATTGTCCCAGGGTGCAGGCACCACCTGGGTTAACCTTCTCTGAACGGTGTGAACATGACACAGGAGGCTGGGGTCACGTGCTAAGATAGTCACGGAGGCCAGGTTCACCCTCCTGGGCCACAGAGAGCAGTCCCGTGTGCAGCCTCCGTGCTGTGCTCTCTGCCTGTGGGCACGGAGCCTCTCGCGCACACCCGCACATGCACCCACGCGCGCACACGCACCCACGCGCACACCCGCACACGTGCTCGTCCAGGCAGTTCCTGGTTCTTCACGCCCTTGTTGTTCTCTTGGAGAGGTGCATGGTGTCCCCCAGGCCATCCTGACCTTGTGGCCCTCTGAGGTTGCAGCTGTCACTTTCTCCCTCAGAACGGAGCTGGGGTCACCACACACACTTGTAGCTGTGGGCGCCTGACCAGGGCCCGAGCTCTGCCCCTGTGGCCTCCCTGCTGCGGTGCGGGGAGGAGCAGGGACACGGAAACCGGCCTTCTGGCAGTGGAGTCGCGGGTCCTAGTGGCCTTGCCCATCCTCTCCCCTCAGGGAGGCCTGACGGCTCCACGGGGACCGAACGCATCCGGATGGACATTCAGAAGGTGGACGCCGTCTTTGTGGGCACTGGGGACCTCTTTGCTGCCATGCTCCTGGCGTGGACACACAAGCACCCCAACAATCTAAAGGTCAGTGACATGCGCCCTCCCCCCACGGCCGCTCCTGTGCCTCAGGGAGCTGGTCACATTGGTCGGGGGAGGGGAGGGACCAGGCTGAGTAGAGAGGGCCGGCCCCAGCGCCGCGGGGAGGGCAGCGGCCGGGCTGTGGGCTCCGGAGTCAGACCCCATCACCGTGGACCCCTTCCTCCCTCCCGCGTTGGAAGTAGGACGGTCAGGTTGCTGCACGCAGGGGCTCACCTGGGAGAACGTGTTCAGGATGCAAGGGTCCCACGCTGGCTCGGCTGCGGCCAGCATTGGCGCGAGGCTGTGAGTGTGCCAAGCTGTGGCATCCCCGGTGACCTAGGAGCCGCTCCTAGACGAGCAGCACAGCACAGCGTGTTTCCCAACACGTAACCGCTGCAGCGGCTCGAGGGCCTGAGAGCCTGGATGCCGGCTTTGGGCCGGGAGGGCGTCCGGGTCAGACTGGCGGGGAGATCCGTCTTCCTGTGGGTCGCCCCGCGTCTGTCCCACTGCTGCCTGCGTCTGCCCAGAGACACGGCGCCTTGCCCGGCACTGCTGGGCAGAGCGGATCCGTTGCTAGGCTGGTTCGGTAAATGGGGTGAGGGGTGTCAGGGCCTTTCTCGTGCGCTGGGTGGTTCAGCACGAGGCGCGGCAGGGAGTGGGAGTCTCGTCACAGCCACGTCACTTGGTTCACTGGCCACCTTCTGTCCCACGTGCAGAAAAGTTGCGTTGTGATCTTTTACAAGATTGCTTTTGTCCGAGGCCCCACCAGGTGGCCACCGGCGTGTCCTCTTTCACTGCCGTCCCCAGCCCTGGGGCTCACTCAGCCAAACCCCCCTTGGTGTCCCGTGTGCAGCACGGTGGGCTCCGGCGCTGCGGAGGGAGGCTGCCGCCCCTTTGGAACGCGGGCGGGGCGGGCGTGAAGGGAGAGGCGGGAGGAGGAAGGGACACCTGCTCCAGCTGGGCCGCACGCGGGGAAGGGAGAGTTGGGGCATCAGGATCTGGAACTGGCTCCCCGAGGGGCTGTGTTCCCCTGGGGGCAGGCGAGCCCCTCCCCAGCAAGTTGGGCTGAGTCTCCGGCTCCTGGTTTAGAAAGTGAGGGATGTGGACTGAAGCCCCTCCCCTCCCGCGGGACAAGCCCGCAGCCAACTCCGAACTCATCATGGGATTGTGTGGTCCCTTCACCGTGCCACCCCCACCTGTGCCCCTGCGGGTGGAGGGTGGGCCAGTCTGCCCTGTTTAATTGGCGGCAGCAGGAGTTTCATTTGGTGCAGGGCGGCGGAAACTTGCCAGCCGGTGCCCAGGGCAGCTGCGATGCCGGGGCCAAGGCCAAGTCTTTGACTGCGCCAGTCTGGGGTCACGGAGTCGGGAGCAGGTTGTGGCGTTCCCCAGTACTGCTGAGCCCCTTAAGCCTTTGACTTTGAGATGCTGTGAGTGATGACTTCGGCTGAGTTTCGGGCAGTGACTGTTTCCCCTGTGGGTTCTTTATAACTAATTCATTCCAGGAGGTCTCCTCAGACACCTGCTACCTCCAGGCAATGGAGGGCGTGAGATAGCCCCTTGCGGGAGCTGTCTCTGGCCGGGGGGGAGCTGGTTATTTCAATAGTAGCCGCTGCCCAGCTCTCCCGGGGGCGCTCTGGTGGGTGGAGCAGCCGCCAGCCACGCAGGGTTTGGAGCATGTGAGTTGGCGGAGGCTGCCTGGTGGCTCAGAGGGTGGGACGGACGGTCTTTGTGTTCCCTGAAAATGCCGTCCGGGCAGCCATGAGCACGTGGGAGCCCCAGGTGGGCCACAGCTTGTCTCCTCCCTGCAGATGGCCTGTGAGAAGACCGTGTCAGCCGTGCACCACGTCCTGCAGAGGACCATGCAGTGTGCGACAGGTGCGCCAGCCGGGCTGCCCACGTGGCCCGTGTGCCCCAGGAGTGGGTGGGAGAGAGGGGACGTCACTTGCTTGCTACGAGGGTGCGACGGGTTTCTCCTGTTGTGAAAGGGTTGCTGCGGCCCGTCTGGCCTTGGCCTGTGGGATTGGGCGGCGGCACGGTGCTTCTGCAATGGGGACTGGGGACGTGCCCTGGGCCGTGGAGGGCTCGCACAGGCAGGGGGGACAGAAACTCAGGGGACCCGTCCTTGGTTTGTCCTACAGCCCAGGCTGAGGAAGGACTGAGGCCCAACCCAGCCCAGCTGGAGTTGAGGATGGTCCAGAGCAAAAAGGACATCGAGGACCCGGAAATCGTCATCCAGGCCACGGTGCTGTGAGCCCGGCGTGCGCGCCCACAACGCACAGCGTGTTGGTGTCTCCATTCTTGTCCCCATGAAAAATGTAACGTCTGCCTTAGAGCTGTGACCGAAACTTGACATTTCTTTGCTCATGAGTGTCCAGCATCCACTGGTCTCCATTGTGAAAACGCGCCCGTCGCGCTTTGTAAAGAACAACAAAGCGATCCTTCCCCTCCCCCAAGTCCCCGTTTGCCGTCTGGGGGTGTCCTGCGTGAGGGTGGGCACGCGAGGCCAGTGCCGCCCCCCCCCAGGGAACCTCGAGGGGGCCGCTGGCCGCCGCTGCCGCCAGAAGCCCCGTGCCGAGTGGGCTGGGCTCGGGTGGCCTCTGTTTTGTCTGTGAGAGCGGCGGGGTTTCAGCCGTTCGCATCTGGGAGAACGCGCCAAGTGTCTTCATCGTCATTCTGATCTTGTCTTTGTTCCTGCGTCAGAGTGTCTGTTCCTTAGCTTGCTGCTCATTGGGTCCCTGTGCGTTTCGGGTCTCGTGCTGTTGTTTAACTGTGAGC